AATAAAACTATAAATTGATAATAAATGAGATTGATATGGTGCTCTACCTAACTTTATGAAAATTTTATGATGCGATTTTAGTTTAATCAAATATTATAAACTTTGCTTTGGTGATTGCATAATATTTAATTTAGCGATCTAATGCAGTTGCTACCATTGTCCAAAACAACAGACGGGAATTACTGCTTTCTTCAACCTGCGACATAAACGTCATTGATTGGTATTGTATATAGGGTGATTAACAACATTTGAAGTTAACTTCTGGCATCTAAGTACATATTGGGTTTCTGTGAATTATGTAAGCTATATCAAATTATGGGACTAGGATATGACATTGCATTTGTTTATATCACAATCTTAGAGCCAGACGTTGACATGACAATGCAGCCACTGCCAATTTTACATAGCCGACGAATGAATTTTATATTTACTGCTAAACTACTAAAAAGAACATAAACAAAAGATGACTTTTTGAATAAGTGCCAGTTTACTATAAAATTTACATACATTAGATATATAGGTAACGACTTGATTTAACTTACTACTTTTAACTGTTAACTTCACACATTTTTGCGAAAATTGAGGCCCATCTGTAGCCTTGACCCCGCTGGTAAAGTCTCTATATGTCTTAATAAATCAATCTTTTAGACCAGCGCAAGATACTTAATAATTGCCGCGATATTAATTCCCTTACTGAAGTAACAAAACTACGCTATATACCGTCTTAAAATACTATCCAACTAAAAAGTGTTAAATAAAAAAGGTAAATTAAAAAAATCAAAAAATCCGACTGCTTAATTATACTTCGATTAAAAACTGAAAAGAAAAAAACAAGTCCAGTAGTCTTTAATTCTGTTAATAAGGAACAAAGCTATTTTAACAGGCGGGACCCATGAGATATTCAAGAATACATAATATTTTTCAATAATGGGTCTCGACTGTTAAAGTAGCTTTGTTCCTTATTAACAGAATTATAGACTACTGGACTTTTCAGTTTTTATTTGAAGTATAATAAAGCAGTCGGGTTTTTTGATTTTTTTAATTTACCTTTTTTATTTAACACTTTTCAGTTGGATAGTATTTTAAGACGGTATATAGCGTAGTCTTGTTACTTCAGATAGGGAATTAATATCGCGGCAATTATTAAGTATCTTACATATAGAGACTTTACCAGCGGGGTCAAGGCTACAGATGGGCCTCAATTTTCGCAAAAATGTGTGAAGTTAACAGTTAAAAGTAGTAAGTTAAATCAAGTCGTTACCTATATATGTAATGTATGTAAATTTTATAGTAAACTGGCACTTATTCAAAAAGTCATCTTTTGTTTATGTTCTTTTTAGTAGTTTAGCAGTAAACATAAAATTCATTCGTCGGCTATGTAAAATTGGCAGTGGCTGCATTGTCATGTCAACGTCCGGCTCTAAGATTGTGATATAAACAAATGCAATGTCATATCCTAGTCCCATAATTTGATATAGCTTACATAATTCACAGAAACTCAATATGTACTTAGATGCCAGAAGTTAACTTCAAATGTTGTTAATCACCCTATATACAATACCAATCAATGACGTTTATGTCGCAGGTTGAAGAAAGCAGTAATTCCCGTCTGTTGTTTTGGACAATGGTAGCAACTGCATTAGATCGCTAAATTAAATATTATGCAATCACCAAAGCAAAGTTTATAATATTTGATTAAACTAAAATCGCATAATAAAATTTTCATAAAGTTAGGTAGAGCACCATATCAATCTCATTTATTATCAATTTATAGTTTTATTGGTAGTGTAAAGCTCGAATGAAGAGTACTTCCACCTAGCAAGCTTGCTGCTACCAGCCTAGTATGTATTGCAAATTAATAGTGCAATCATGGCAATTATTTTCCAATTTTTTTTTTGTATAAATAATATACCGATTAACGTATCACTGATAAGCACAAATGCTAAGTAACTTTTACAAATATAATCAAATAAACCTATTAGTTACTTAATTTTTAAATCTTTTTAATCAATTAAATACTATTATCCCAACTATCTATACTAATATTATAAAGAGGCAAGATTTGTATGTTTGTAACAAATAGTCTGTCAAACTACTAAACCAATATGGTAGCTGCATTATTTATTATTACATTTTCTTTATTTAAATACATTTTGTCCGAGTGACATAGGCTATATTTTATCCCGATAAAATAAATTTCGCCCGTACAATGCCCGGGTGGATCACTAGTAACTATAATATTATAGATGCAAAAGTGAGTTTGTTTGTTGCGCTTCCGTGCCCTAATAGCTAAATCGATTATAATGAATTCCCCTATAGAAGTAGATGGGAACTTGGTTCTTAGCTACAACATCGCAATACTTATAGGCGTAGGGTGATGAAAGGGGTGATATACCTATAAAAATCTATATTATTTACTTAGAATTTTGCAGAATTATCGTTTATAATTACAAAACCAATATTATCGCAAGCTGATTAATAAATACAGGGATTCCAATAAGTATGTACCTACTAGCGAAAAATGGGTTATTTGTCCTTATATTAAGTAAACCTTTTTTGTAACATTAAGTAATATCGTTCAAAAAAACAGTATAATCCTGAGTTTTTCATTAAAATTCAATAATCATAAATACCTATTATGATCATTTATTTTTCATCATTTAATAAGAAGGAACTGTATCACAGTTTTATTGTAAGAACTTCGTATAGGATCAGATACTGCGAGTAGCCCATTTTTTTCTTTTTCGCCTAGGTTTTATCCACGTTTTTAGACACCTAAATTAAATTTCTTCTCTTAGTATTCCTCCCGCAGTTTACTCCTTCTCTCAGTATTACCGCGCTATCACTTTGTCATCGTTGTAACTTTTTAAATATTTGTCGAAATGACATAGTGTAAAAGGCAAAGTTTATCGTCTTTAAATATCAAAAGCGATAAAAGTATTTGTTTTGATAAAAAATAATTTGTTAATACAAAATGTGCATTTTGGTAATAGATATCAAATAATATTTTAGTTTTGATTCACTATTTTAGCGGTAATGGCTTACACATTAAAAATAGATCACAGACTTTTTTTTAGAACTATTTAAGAGATACATTTTCGCTCTACATTATATTCATGTAACTTTTATTGTTTTTGCAGTGCAGGCCAAAATGGCTCGCAGATGGCAGATTTTTTCCGTCTTATGTGACACTTATTGTTATATTTTGGCCAATTCACTCAATAAGTACATAAATTATTATATATATGTAATTATCATATATGAGCTATATTACTGTTAAGTTTCATTAAAATCCATTCAGTATTTTTTAGGTGAAAGAGTAACAAAAATCCATACAAACGTAAGATTGAAATTAAAAGAGCAAGTGTTTAATACACAACTTTAAAGCGTTGTAGATCTTAAACAATCATATAAAATGAAAAAATAAATTGATTATCTAGACAGTGATACTCAACATATTTTGTCAACTTTTTTTTTACTTCGTGACAATATGGCGTCTAATTTTGTCCATATTGAATTTTGATTACTATAATATCTTTAGAAGCACTCCCATGATTGAGACGAATCGATTGATGTATGAATCATCAAAATCGGTCCAGGCGCTTGGTCTCTAGTGTGCCACAAAGGAACAAACATACATATATAGACTGTTAAACACTATACCCTGTCTGCGCGTCGCGCTTCGCGCTCTTGCATTGCGCAGCCGGGTAAAAAGAGATAATGCGGGTCATGTACCTATACGTAGTTGTTGTTACTCTGGCTTATAAAAAGTAGAAAATATAAAAAAAATATCCATGACTGAGAAATTAACCCGGGCCGCCTGTGTGCTACTAAACCACAGATGCTTGATGATAAGGTCTGATTTCTTTAATAACAATTTAAAATGTAATGCCGCATGTTAAAAATTTAACGAAAAAATTTTTGGCGATGTAATAAAATGTTTACTTTAATTCCAACGTATTAGAAACGTGATATTTTTATAATATATATTTGCTCAATTTTTAAATCTTGCGCCTATAATGGTACGATAAATTTATAGTGCGAGCTACACTTGGTAGGTTTTTAAGAATACTCGTGTTTATAAAAATATACTACTTTCAACTTTCCCTTAGGGAAACTCGAAAATGAATGAGAAAATAATACATGTATTTTATCGTTTTATTCGCCAACAGAAACACAACATCAAGAAAAGGTAGTAATTTAGATGAGGACTTCTGTAAAGTGGCTCATTCTTTGTATAGACAGAGGTTTAGATTCAAGCGGGAAATCAGCTGTGCCCTACCACTCATAAATTGTCATTTGATGGTTATTTATTGAAGCTACTATTTTGTCTAAGAAATATCTTTCAAACAGAGTAAATAAGCGGTAAAAGAGGTGTTTATGAGGAATTTTATAAACTTCCGCTTGTTAATTTCTATGAAATGATGGATGACTTTGAAAATATGTCGTGTATTTTATTGTTACCTGCCTTAATACAAAAGAATTATTAGTTGTCTATTTGCTGTTCAGATTGCATCATTATCTTTGGATTTGTAGGATTATTTCTACCGGCAATTTAAGGGCGAGTAGGTAAAATATGTTGTTAAATACTAACTTTGAATTCTTGACTACTCTGATATTTATGGAATAAAACGAGAGTTTTCGCCAATCTGTTTGTTCTACAGTTATATTTTTATTTCTTAAACATTCAACTGCTACATGTCGAAAATTAGAGCAAAGCATGGTTATTTACAAATGGATAATAAAACGTAAAATAACAACTTCTTATTAGGTTTGTCTTAAAACAGAGTTTATGAACAACATATGTAATGGAATTAATTGTAGTATTTCAATGTTATTCTGTCATTAAAATTAATACGTTAATACGTACTTGTAAATAAAATATTTATTACGATTAAGGTGAGACAATAACCCCAGTCACAAATTGCCTTTTAAAGTAAATTTAAACTTATCAAATGTTATTAGCCTAATCTTAAGTAAATTTAACAAAGCTATCTCACCTTAATCCATGCGGTGATTTTCATGGCGTCAATTATAGTTTGAAGCTCACGGTGCCAACAATAACATCACATATATTTGTAATCACAATTAAGAATTTATTAGAATCGAATTTTGTGTTTATTTCGACATCGTAAAGTTTTCCCGCGTTCGACGCTACACCCGCGCGCGTGTTACGTCCACCGACTGCGTTTTCAGACTAACTGAGACTGTGTCTAAGCATAGCACGGAGAGTAGAGAGAATTCGAGCAAAGCATGGTTGCCAAACACTTTTCGGAAATAAATATTTATATAAACATAATAGAAAATATGGAAACACAAACTAAAGATTTACGCTAGGTAATTTTTTAAAGGAATTATTTATATTATGCACACAGTACAATCGAGGCTTCATCGATGCCCGATAGCCACACAATTTAAAGTTCTCAAATATGTGTACTAAGGCACCCAAAATGTCCCGGATCCTAAGATGTCCCGCTTTCAAAATTTCAAAACTACAAGTTCATATCAAAGGAAAGGAGCTACTAGTACCATCATTGCAGTGGTTGACAGTTTGCTAGTAACGTTGCAAGTGGCTTACGATTTGTATGCTCATGTTCACAATTTTAGTACCTAATTCTTCAGAAAAATAATTTGGTTTTTAATCCAAAGTTACATAGATCTGGGCTTTCCTGAGAAGGTAAGCGTTGTTTAGGTAAGTAATCGTGGTCTTATTACGGGGTAAAGTCCCTACAAAGGCCCACTACAAGAATTTCAAAGATGGGCCATCTTTCTGGGCCTTTAAAAGACAGAATATCATAGTGGTGTCGATTCTAGCATAATTCTCTAAACCTATACTTAAATTTGACAGCAGTATATCCTTGTCATTCTCTATACAGAATGAAAAGGAGAGACTGATGTTAAAGGATGATGGGCAAAAATGTATGGAACTTGGTATCCGTTCCAATAGAGATGTGTTACATATCATTTGAAAGGTCTACTTGAATACAATAATGTCTACTATGGCGCTTGCCCTGATACGTTGTCGAAACAGAGTTATATTATAAATAAATAATAAAAAAAAGTTTTTTCCTTTTTAAATTGTTATACATTTCAGTATTTACAATATTTTAGCAGTGTTGTAAGTATTAACAATAGGCATAAGGTTAGAGCGTTGATATCTGCAAAAGTTTAAAAAAAAACTGTGTTGCAGATACCAGTGCCTTCCGACTTAGTAACAATACAACCTCGTGTGAACTATTTAATGTTTATCTTTAACGAGAACGTTAATAAAAGAAAATGGTAAATACATAATAAAAAAAAACAATAACTAGCTTGTTATCTTGAACGGTAACCATAGGCGTATATAGAGGGGGGGCCAAGTGGGCCGTGCCCACCCCAGGATGTTGGACTACCGATTCGAAATTCTATAATACTAATCACTAACTTCAGATGACTCTTCAATATCAGGGCCCAGGCCCACCCTGAAAAATAACCCTAGATAGAACCCTAGATACGCCAATGACGGTAACATTTAATAAAAAAACTTTAACAAAAATAGATAAAAATAGATTTTAAATAATAAACTTTGTTGGTACATTATGATTTTATTCATTTAATTTTTTATGTATGCAGTTATCCAGAGGCAGAGTGAAAGAAACTAATTTTTGAGTAATTACTTTATTCATTATCTATAATAAGGATGTCATTTAGGAACAGTGCAGGAGCGATGAATCCGGCGTGCCTGGCATAGCCTAGGTACCATATAATTAATAATATGTCAGCACAATTTCCTATGGTACGTCTACCGGTTACACATGTACAATAATGTTGAATTATATTATTATAATTATTATTCGGTAAGTATGATAATGGTAATAACGGTTCCGGCAAAAATGGTTCTGGTATTTTCTGGAAAAAATAAAAACGGACAACAAATATCAGAATGCCGCCATAGTAACTAATATTCTACATGAAACGAGGTATTCAATGATATATCACTCATCGCTATTGATACCAAACACCAATTGGATACCAAAATGCCCGTCCTCCTTTAGTTTTAAGTTTAGAGAATCACGCCAGAATTGGCACCAGTGTCTTTAGTTCTTGTAGAAACTAGGACTTCTGTTTAGGTTGATTCATCCATACTTTCTTCAAATTAGGTACTTTGTGTCTTTAGTTAAAAGTTGTCACATCTTTAGGGTATTCAGTCGAATTAGTCAATATGTTAAGGAAAGGACATTTTTCAATATGTTGATTTTTGATTATTATTACCATAGATTGTTCGAAAATTGTTAGAACAATGACAGAAAAATATTCTTGATTATTTGGAGATTTTTATTTTATTAACCGACTTCAAAAAGGAGGAAGTTCTATGTTCGACTGTATTATTTTTTTATGTATGTTCATTGATTTCTCCGTCAATTGTGGAACGATTTCCAAAATTCTTTTTTTATTCGAAAGAATGCACTTCCGAGGTGGTCCCATTGGAACCAAGTCCGGATCTGATGGTGGGATCCGGGGAAATCGAGGGAAACCTACTAATTTGAACGGCACGCACGATGTTTTTTATGCATGTTCACCGATTTCTCCGTCAATTGTGTTATTGTTTACTTGGACGATATAATTTTCACTCAAATGGATGAAATATTTTTTTTCTAACAAATAATAAAACCGACTTCAAAATCGAAAATGGAACTAAACGAAATGATTTGGAAGGCGTGCGGGGTCAAGATTGAAACATAGATAGGTTTTTTTTTTCTGATCGGTAATAATACGTGTTTCAATCTTGACCCGCCCGACTTCCAAATCATGAACCAGATTATTAATTATTTTTTACTTTTTAGTTCCATTTTCGATTTTGAAGTCGGTTTTTTTAAAATTAAGTAGGTATATTAGGTTTTGCTAACCGTAATATGACCCAAAATACAATTTATTTACAAAAATACTTGTAATTGGCTGATTACTTACCTAAGAACTTCATTATATTAGGTGAAATTTCACATTTATACATTTTTAATGACAGGCTATGGGCATTAATCCTAAAAATCAGAAATACTAGAGGAAAATTGACTCGGCCATTAAAGTCTCGGTAGCATAATTGGTTAGTACGTCCGTCAGGATAGCGGAAGATGCGGGTTCGAATCCCACCTGAAACTGGGACCGAATTGTGAAATTTTCTTTCGATTTAAACATGTAGCTCCTACACTACGCTTTAAACTACTTATTATTATTTTTATTAAAATAATTTAAAAAACTGGACCTTGAAAGGCTACCTTATAGCTGGAATCGTGAAAAAGTTTACATTATTATTGCTGGAATTGTTCAGAAAAATATCGATTTGTCATACTTTAGGTACTGTCATGGACACTATTGACTAGTCAATCGATATTAATTTAAAATACCTAGATATAGAAAATTATGGTAGACACGAAACACCGTTTATCATTAAGAAAATGATAATGCAGCTATTCAAACTAGGAAAATGCTGAACATACTCCATCATAGCGAAATGAGGTTTATGTTACTCGTCTGTAAATTCAAGGTTTCTTACTGAAGAATATGAAATATAACAACATAATATTCAATTATAAATGTATCTTTAGTATTTTGTAAACGCACGTGATCATAAACAATTTAGTAACGGAACGACAGCATGAATGAAATACACACAGACTCCGGTCAAGGTAAACATGATCATTGCACTACTTACATGCAATATTTACATGTGCACATACGAAATGCGTCATCCGCGATGGGCGACGTTATTATGAATCCAAAACAGAAGTAAAGTTATGGGGTAGACCTTCACGAGTAAAATATGACTTGTATTTTGCATATTTGCAGTCATTTTCTTTACCGTTTACCGTTAAGTAGGCAGCTATTACTTTTTTATAATATTTTTTTTAAGATAGGTCCAACAAATGACTCCACCCCACCCCATCTGATGTTAGGTGAAGGTGAAGTCAAGACGCGAAGATAGCTGATGCAGCAGTTCTACCTGCCACACCAGCCATCACTCACTCTGCCGGCCTGCATGTTGCTTCTTCACGCCTCTTTTAAAGGATCCCAAGTTGTAAGAGTGAGGGAACACGTTAGCGGGCAGAGCATTCCATTTATTTGAATGTCCAATTGTGACTAAAGCTAATTGTGGTCATTCACCACAATTTAAGCGGATCACTTTTGAGCCGCGAGTGCCGTATCTTCCCTTTTTGTTTTAATCTAAGCTAGTTATGGGTAAAGGGTTCCACCTGACTAAATTCAGACGTCCTAATTAGAATCCTAAAAAGAAAGTTAATTAGAAGCTTTTGATTACACTTGACTAATTTAGTTACTGATTCAGTAAGTTACAAGCGCGCGGCGAATTCAGTCAGACTTTTTCGTAATGGCTCCAGTCCTGTCAAAACAACAAAAAAAAATCGGTCTTTTCGCAGGCCTGGCCGTTGGCTCAATAAAAAAAAAGTAAAAAACGAAAAACGTGGGTGAAAGAATATTAATGTTATTTTTATCGTATTTGTTCCAAAGATACGGCATATGTTTATACAATTCGATTATGTTACTCATAACTTCTTTTTCTTTTACCGCCGACATCGCGCACTTGCGTAATTCGTAATCGTAAACAAAATAACATCCTCGCGTAGTCACGCCTGCGGTGCGACTGAAGCATCTAAAGCCTATCACACGTTCCTAAATCGCTTTCTAATTAGGATACTAAATGATTTAGTCAGTCAGAAGCCACACTTCTTCCGATTAAGGATGCTAATTAGGATCCTAACTTACTAAATGCTATTTCACTTGACTGAATTAGTTTTATCACGAATTTAGAACGTCTGAATTTAGACAGATGGAATATGCGCTTTACATGGGAGATTATGGAGTATTTTTGCGGAACGACACAGAAAAAACAATGTGGCAGTGATTACACGTTAAAATAAATAAAAAAAGCCAGACGAAAATAAAATTACCGAGCATTGACTACAAAAAAAGATCCCGATCAAGGACAAATCATTTATTGAGAATGATGATTGTATTAGAGATAGTTAAATGGAGCTAGTTCCTGGTGAGATTTTAGTTGATGTGGCACTGTTTTTTTTTTATTTGGATGTTAATATATACAATATCTTTTTTTCATCAAACGGCTATAATGTTTTTGGTTAGACTCTGCATGTTCAGTTGGTGCGAGTGAGTTCCGCATGCTTGTGACATCACAGCCGGCATGGGTTTTGTATAATAGTAGTTCGCGAGATAACTCGGTGCAAACAATATGTTTTTCAATTTACTTCTTATAATTGCCAATTCGCTTTTAGTGGGTCCAGCTTGTTTCATGACTTGGGCTCTCATACAGCGGTAACTGTGCGAACTCCTGAAGTGTATGCACCTCTTAGGTTCCTTTATCTGTTGCCTTATCGTCCCTGCAGGATTTATAACTGCAGACACTTTTGATACAAGGTTCAACCATCCCAATTTATACGGAGTGCTTCGTCTATTGATTGTCGAATAGAGTCTCTTTACACCTCGATGTTGATGTCTAGTGATCTCATTGTAGAATAAAAGTTTGACATTTTTTACCATTTCACTAGTACTCTTCCTACTCTCTTCACCTATACGTGAACTGCGATCCAAAATTTTATTCTTGAAGAACCGATAAGGTATTTTCAGTATACTGCCAACTGTTCGGTCCAACCAGCTTGGATTATCGGACACCTTCAAAGAGTATATGGATTGTAACCAATCAACGTTATTAGATCCTGTAGCATCAGAATCTTCTGTCCGTCTTGACCCAGAGAGACTGAAAGATCCACGCTCTTTTAGTCGGTGATCCGATTTGATGATAACGGGCATCTCAGACTTTTTCCTTAAGGCCATGTGTGCTATTTCAGTGGAAACGCCAAGCTCTGCCATCCTTAAATCACTGCAGATGATTGTTTTATTATATCTGTTGTCACCCTTATCCTTCGGTGATTTATTATCCACAGGTATTTTGGATTCATATTTGATGTTATCCACGACTGGACAATTCATCTGACGCAATAACTCTTGTGTCACCTCAGTGGTAACACCTATTTCAGTGCTCTTCTTTTCCATGAACTTGGAAGTATCCTCCATAATTCTGCAATCGACACCCTGGGCAGGTTTGGCAATTAACTTCAAGGAATTACTCATCTTCTCTATAGTTGTAGCTCTGTGACTGCTACCGGATTCTGTGGACGCCTCCAGTTGCGTCAGCTCCAGAACACCGTTAATCGGGTGATGCTTAGAGTTCTCATCTTTCTTATACTGATGATGTCGACTCCTGTTCCGTCTCTTTACCCTCGCCATGGCAGCCGCCTTTGCTCTGGTTCCAGTTTTCGCCCTCCTGGCTGAACAGCACCCACGAAAGATCCTCTGGGCGCAGCGGTAGCAGAATATCACCCCCATGAAAACTTCAGCGTTCTTCAAGTTGGTTTCACTGCAGACGTAGCATTTGTGACACTTCTTGTGGTAGCTGTATCCTTCTTGCACAGTGATCTCATCCTCTTTTTTGAAGAGCTTGTGACAATGTTGGCACACCACGCAAGGCATTTTCTATTTTTTTGTTTATTATTGATAATCAAATTATAATCCACTACATTTTATATGAAAACCATTTATGTTGTATATATATTTTTGAGAAGATTTTTTTACTTTTCTACAAGATTATTTGTCAACTTGACATTTTGATTAAAAACTATGCGAGAGGATTTTTTTAATTCAATATAATTTGATTTTTTGGCAAGAGGTCATTGACGAAGGATTTCACTATAGTCCATGCAATCATCAATATTAAAATTTATTTAAGAAAAAAAATATGTTATGTACGTGATCTTAAGAGGAATAGATTTTAACATAAATATTTGACTAATTTTTGTACTAAGAATCGTTGAAAAAACCTACTGCTTTTAATACACTTCTTTTTTTATACTTTTTAATAATGAAAGTTCTAGTTATATTTTTAAGCATTTAACTGATAGATATTTCAATCATTTTACTAGAAAAATTTAGAGAGAAAACTAGAAAAATTCCACGCGGTCCAGGCAGCTGACGGGACTTGAACCCGCACTCTTCGCTATCCGGGCAAAAGCACTGACTATTATGCTAACGCAGCCCTGATGGCGAATTCCTTCTAGCCTTTCTTAAGCTGCACGGCAACGCCATCTGTTCGCATTGTAGGTAACCCACAATTTCAAATGAATACTTTTTTACAAATATTAAACATTTGAAAGAAGAAATAGCCGTTATAGTTATATTTTTAAGCATTTAACTGCTAGATGTTTAAATCTAAAGAATTTTTTGTAAACTGAAAGTTCTTTTTTATATTTTTTTAATTCCATATACCAAAGTGAGCCCATGTTCCTTGCCCTTTACAGATATGAACTGAGTTTTATGATACCGTATGATTAATTTATCTCTATATTTAGTCTTGACACTTAAACTTAATTTAAATAATCCAAAAATTATAAAAACTAAAATTTTCAGACAACCTTATCGGAATAGCCGTTAGGACACACAAATGTTAGCCTTTTTCATCATCATACGCTTATTCCATTTTCTCCAGGCGTAAAGTCTTTCGAATTAACGGAACTTTCAACCTCGGTTTTCTGTTTATTTTAGAATCTAAAACACCAAAGAAAACGGTAACTTCAAAACTCTTCAGCTTGAGGCTTTTATTTATATCAATATTATGGTTTTATGGAAATTGAGCACAAGTTAAGGCGCGTCTCTCGTACCTACCGATGCGATAGTATTTATTACTCTGTTAGATGCCGAACTCTAGATTAAAGATATAAAGTACTCGTTGAAAATTGCCTGAAGGAAGTGGTTAATAATCTCGTTACCGACCTTCACGGATATATACAAGATGGAAAGGGAACGGGTACAAATTTTCTATTCAGGAAAATATAAGAATAACTTCAAAAAATATCTATGAGTCATACAAAGAGTACAGAATATTTTTTTGTTTATTATTTTCAAGGTGATTGATTCCTTAATAATCAGGTAAATTAATGGGTGAATCTTGAGAGGCTTAATTTTCGCTGTCCGGATGAAAAAAGGTACCCATAATATTAAAACAAATCCAAAATATTTTTTATACTACTATAACGTATGATCTAACTGAGGAACGATAAATCGTAAAGGACTAATATTTGACATCCCCTGGCACATCCTCTTCACATTTTGTTTACAAACTACCAGAAAAACACCAACTTATTAACGGAAATAAAATATATGATGAGGTTTAAGCTATAGGATATTAGTTGTTGATTTATCAAAATTTTTACTATAACTGTAGCTATTTTTATTTAAGTTATTTTCTGTAGTTTTAGTATTATTTAAGGATAAAAGTGTCATTAAGAAATAAACAGGCTGTTTAGATTATAATAAAAGAAATATTTTCATATATATTACTTTGATTTTGATTCCTTTGCTGTCTTTTCTTCTGTCACATAACTTCATTTATCTTCGGAACCAGTCGGCCAAAAGTGATGCTTATTCGATAAATATGGTGATAAAAAGTAAAATTTAATGTTTCCTTATTTCTTGTAAAAAAGTATAAAATTAAATTGCGCCAAGGGAATCAACTGAATAATCCGAATCTCAAGATTCACCGTTGTCTGATGCTTGCTAGCGCAACGTTAACTTAGGCTGCTTACATGTTTCATCATCATCAACCTATTAATGTCCCCACTGCTGTGGCACAGGTCTTCCCTATGGATGGAATAGGGAGATTGAGCCATGACCAACCACATGGGCCCAGTGCAGATTGGTGGAAGCTAAGGAGTGCCGATGCAGCGGAGACCAACGCCTTAACGTGCCTTCCGAAGCACGGAGGAGCTCTAGATAGTAAATTTTTTGTCACCCATCCAAGATAAACTAACGACCATACCTACTACGATAGTTCAATTAACTGTAAAATTTGATTTAAGTTATTGCTGTCCTTTCCTTTAATTTAATAATATAATGAGACACGTGACTTTGGACGTCTCTAAGTATGGCCGTTAGTGTAGTTTGTTTATTTGTTATTCAATCGCGCAATAACGAAAAAGACGACTGAACGGATTTTAATGAAATATGACACACATAATAGTTTATCATCTGGATTAAGACATACGATAGATAATTTTTATCCCGGGAATATACATATTCCCGTTACGTACGGTCCCGGTACGTTACGTTCCAGAACTCCCAGGCTTCTCAAAAACTTAAATATGGAGCTAATCTTCTTTTTCGATACATTCCTTTAATTTTAAGCAGAAAAGGTTGTTATCCAAATCGTTGTTGGTGGAAATTCAAACATTTTTGAATGTACCTAACAAATGGTCCACAAACTATTAATGTCCGGCGGTAAATAAATGTGGTAGTCATTCGTTTTGTCTGGCGACGAGGACACGATGCAATTCCAATTGAAATAGCGATACTAGAGAAGTGCTGCCTTTTGTTTAGTGTTATATGGAATAATATATGGATGGGGTACAGTATCCCTTTGTTACAGAATCGAGTTATCGAAATCAAAGGGGGAGGGGAGATTCCCATTTTGTGTGGTAAAAGAAAAACTGAATTGAGTTTTTTGTTATTCCGTGCTGCTTTTTAGTACTATAGTTATCTACTTGTGTTTTTAGTAAGGTTGATATGCAGACACTAACATTTGTTAACTTTTAGTGAATAAGAATGTTGGATTTTCAGAGTCAAAGGTACAGTCTGCTCCATAAAAATCGAAGTGTGAAGACTAATCAAAATTATCAAAAATACAAATAATCATTATAGTATTATAAGTAAGTTATTTACGGGATTGTTACCATGTACCTTGTTTTTAGCGAGTTTCCGATATTTCGGCACTGTTGCAAGCGCCATGCATGATCACGGAGTAACTGAAAATAGTTGAAACTGAAATTTTGGAGTGCCGAAATATCGGAAACTCGCTAAAAACAAGGTACATGGTAACAATCCCGTAAATAACTTATATTACTATAATGTTAGTGACCATGAAAGTTTAAAACAATATACAAAAAATCAATTTTATATGCGCTGTTAGATAATATTATTGTTGTAACCGGCCAGAGTGGTCAATATTATCAAAACAACATAATTCATAATTATGTTAAATTTTAAGATAATCAATTATATATTCGCGAATAACTGTTCAATGGTATCTAAACACTCATAGTTATCGAAAATATCTTGGTAGTAAAGAAATGTAAATGTTAATCTGAGGTATTACGGTTCTTATGTATTCATTTAGTTCATGGCGTGATTGAAGTGTCTTTTGTTTGGGGATAAAGGCACGATTCTATTAGGCAACTATAATTTAATTTAGTTTTTTTAATTATATATGCAAGGTGCAAACTTGAACAAACCTGCATATAAGCTACAAGTTGCGTGTCAGTTCTACATTTTTATTCAAGTGCATATTCTTTTTTCTCTCGTTTTTCTCCGCAGCTAAAAAATATGTCCAATAACGAGTGGTAGGGGAAAAAAATGTTTGGACGATTCAAAAGTGTTGTACTATACATCCAATTTGAATAAAGATATATTGATTTCTGATTTGATTCAAATTATGTTATATTCAGCACCTTAAAATGTAAAATGTAATAAATAAACGAGTTTAAAAAAAAAAAAAAAAAAAAAAACACAAGCGTTATTTGCACGTTTCACTTTGGTTAGTTGCAGGTTCAAACGTTAACCTACACAATTGGAAACATCCCCTTCTTGTATTCAAAATAAAACCTGCATGCAATTTACACACTCTCGAAAACATATTTTCAATGCTAGCAACTTGTAAAAGTAACATCATACATGTATACAGAACTTGCGTAATGGGATAGCGCATTATGTATTTTGAAACAATTAGATTAACGGTCATAGCACACATGTCAACTTGGAAGCGGATCAATACCGACTCGCCTTTCGGCTTGCCGTCAAACAGGCCACCTATATTTGAGCCTGAGAAAGCGCATAAGCAGCTCCAATACTTCGACTCGGCTACGGCTAGGCGACACACCGCACATACGGCTCGCTGCCCGCTGGTTGCCAGTTAGGCGGCACTAGTTCAATCAGTTTGAATCTGAACGTAAGTCAGCGGGAGGGGTGTGGACGGAGAGACATAAACTATGGTACGGAGAGCCGTAAACGCGGTTACTGCAAGTTGACCACGCACCGCAGCTCGGCAGCTTTTCCCGAGTCGAGACGATTTACGTACGATTACGTTATGATTAGTGTGCGTTAGGTTTAAGCATGTGTGGACTATGAGAAGGCCTTTGACTCGATTGAAATCTGGTCTATCCTGGAGTCCCTGCAGTCGGCAAGTCGACTGGCGATACATCCAAGTGATTAGATGTCTCTACGAAGCCGCCACCATGACTGTCCAAGTACAGAATCAGCAAACAAGTCCCATACCGTTGCATCGTGGAGTGAGACAAGGGGACGTTATTTACCGAAATTTTTTACTAATGTAATGGAGGATATGTTCAAGACGCTGAACTAATCGCATTTCTCACTTGCGATTTGCGGACGACATCGTCATCATGGCAGAAACCCTGCAGGACCTAGAGCAGACGCTGAATGACCTGGTTAACTGTTCTAAACGCATCGGCCTACGTATGAACTTGGATAAAACCAAGGTCATGTTCATAGAACATATTCTACTGGAACCGATTGCAATACACGGTGCCGTTCTCGAAGTTGTTCAAAAATATGTGTACCTCGGGCAGACATTGCAGTT